AATGTGTGAATTCTTTATCTGGATGGTTTATAATTCAGCTGACATTTCTTAAAAAAGCTTATTATAAACATGTCAATACACTTGTAAAAAATATGGAGAGATTAGGCAAAGCAAAAGCTTGGGAGGGGGTCAAATACCATCTCCTGGCATCTAGACCCTCAGTACATATCTGTATGGGTCCACGGAAGAACCCTAAGCTGGGGCAATCTCATCTATCTCAGGCCTCTTTCTTCCTACAAATCACGTATCTCAGGTAATTATTCCCTGTGCAGCGATCTCAAACAGAGCTTTCAGCATAGCTGAGGGATGGGATCTGCAACTCGAGAGAGGACACATCTCATTTTGCCTTTGCTGGTGAGGAGCACGCCTGTGGAACCAAACCCTGTGTGAAATACAGCTGCAGAGAAGCCGCCGTCTGTGCTCACACTGCACAAACACAAAGAGCACATGCCTCAAGGAACGTACAAAGTAAGACAGAAGAAAATAGGGATACAGATGAGGGGAGTAAGGAGTCACTCAGCTGTGGGACAGGCAACAGCTCTTGATAGTGCACTGCTCCAGTATCTTCTAGGCATCACTATATATATAGGGGAGAAATAAGGGGACAAGATAGTACATGCTATTAACCATACAGGAGACAAGGCAAAAAAGGTAAGGAGACAAGGCAAAAAAGTTAAGGAAACAAGGCAAAAAAGTTAACCAAACCTCAGTTTTGGAATTTGCAGAAATATGGACCCCAGTAAGAAGGGAAATTTGTGGGCTGCACATTGAGATCCCTCCCAAATTCATATAAAATGGGAAAAAACAGACTAACCAGCCAGTGCAATGGCTGAAGTATGGCTTTCCACAGGGGGGAGGAGCCACAGGGGAGAGTACTTGGGATTTTTCTGTATCAGCTTTTTATTTTCATGTTTGATAAGCAAGGAATTTACTTAAAATCAAAGTTTAAAGTTTTTTATATAGTTTCTTGCACGTGGAAATGGCATTTTTTTCTACATGCAGAACTTCACTAAACACATCCACAAATTTTTCATCATGGATTTCAATAAAATCATGTTGAAAATTGTTGTGCAGACAAAAATAAAGATCTTGACAAACTCCACCAAAAATAGAGAAACAGTTCTGAAGAAAACCAAACAAACACCAAACAGAAAAAAGAACAGGCAAGTAGCAAACTTGAGATTTCTATTGCTCAATAAAGACCTAAATATTCTCTAAGAATGATCATTTGGAAGCTTCTCCAGAATAGGTTCTCAAGTAGATTTTGATGCTTTGATCAAGGACTGACATATAAATCTATCAAGAATTCTTCCATCACATTAAAATTACTGGAGAAGTTCCAGAACAGGGAAAATTGCCTTCCCCACAGCATTCTCCTCTATGCTGAGTTCATATAGCCTTGAGTACAATAGCTCATCTCCTGCTCACTCTGCTGAGGCCAGTCCTTCAAGCTCTCTGAAGAGAAGCTGTGGTCCCCATGCAGCTTTTTGGGACTCTCAGTCAGCAAAGCAACACAGTCAGCATCTTGTCCCTTGCTGTCTGCTGTCCTAAGTCTCTCCCTACTAAGCTTAATCTGAGCACTTCTAGGGAAATCCGGCCCCTCTGAGGTCTGGAGGAGTTTTGTCACTGGCAAGCATTGGAACAGGCTGTCCAGGGAAGAGATTGAGTCACCATCACTGGAGGTATTTAAAATACATGTAGATGTGGTGCTTAGGGACATGGTTTAGTGGTGGACTTGGCAATGCTGAGTTACCCTCTACCTGCCGTCCTCCCTTGTCATTTTCTCCTTCACCACTTGATTCCTCTCTGAGCATCTGAAAAGATTGCCTGCCTTTAATCAAAGAAATATTTCAGAATGTTTCCAGGCCTCAGAGGATGTCAGAGTTCTTTCAACTCTTCTACTATCTTTGAAGAGCTGACGTGCTCCTGGGACCAGCCTCCAGCCAACAGCCCTCGCGAACGCTGTGAAAACCCCCTTCGGTAATGGGTTATGTACTGCATGTTCCACCCGCACGTCAGCGCTGACCAAGCCAGTGTTCTCCATGCCAGAAGCCCCTTCCAGAACCAGGACCAGCTGAGACCCATCACCACCAGCCTGCCTGGGAAAGGGAGGGTAACACTTTCTGTCAGGGTGAAACGTACGGGAAATGCTGATGTGACTTCGCTAAAAGCCGCTGGCTGGAGGGAATGCCTCGCAGCAGGGATCCCCATGGTATTCGAAGGCTGATAGCAAAGTCTGACTCTTCTCTCAGACATCCCAGGTGCTTCACCGTAGAACTGGTAAAAGAGGGAATCGGATCTCTTCATTCATGCAGCAGTCAAGAATTGTTGTTAATCGGCCTTGGTCGTCAAGAAATGCTTAACGCCACACCAGACACTGCCTAATGCTGCGTCTGCCGGGGAAGCAGAGGAGCTCTGGGGGACCCACAAGGCCTAAGAAAAACAGATCTCTGTTACATGAAGTCCACGTTCTACTGTTAGGGCTTTATGTCTACTTGCTGCATTCGAGCCCAAGGTTAGAACAGCGCTTAACCCCACGCCCAGCTCAGAGCCAGCAGTTAATTTGGAGGCAGCACCTCTGTGCTCTCCTCAGTCAGAGCAACGGTAGGTTGAGTACTCAAGCACTACCACAGACCCGATTCCTAATTTGTCACACAAGGTCAAGATAATGAACAGAAGCACTTTGTACCGTTTCAAGCAGTGCTTCCATTTCTTGCCAGCACATTGTACATCCTTATGGGAAATGCACCTACTGGCAAATGGAGCAGCTGCTGCTGTGTGCCCAGCAGGAAAATGGCCATGCGGATAAAGAGCATAAGAAATGCAGTCCTCCTACTTCCTTCTACGTGAATGCAATCTGTAGTAACCAGAAACAATAAGCAGCCCGATGTAGCAAGTCAGCCCCTGCACAGACACCCAGCAGAGGCTGGCCCTGCCCTCTGTCCCCAGAGACGCACCGATGCCACGTGCACTGCGCCGGGGAGCCGCCCGGGCTAGCTCGGGTCCCACAGCCCACCCTGGAAGGGGCTGCGCTGCTGTATCCAAACACGGCGTCCCAGCACTGAAACCAGCTCGGGGCCTCGATGCAAAACTGTGTCATGTAGGGCCCTTCTGAAAGCCGGCACCCAGTGGGAAATGCAGCTTTCTGGGAACTGCCCCAGAGGGGAGAGAGCACTCTGGGGCACTCCCGCAAAACACGTAGGGGTGTACAACTGGTAGGCAAGTTTCTCAGCAGCACATAATGCCAAATAAAAGTAAAATAACAACCCAGGTCTCACAGCTGATTTGCCACATTTCCTTAAGTTTTCTTAGCTTGAATATGTATTACTCGGTGTTGCCGGTTACTCATGGCAACTATCAGCACAGCACCCTCCTGCATGTCTTCCCAGGGCTGCCCTCTGCTCACGGCCCGTCAGCTGGGAGCAGAAGAAAAGAAATCCGCTAGGACAGAGCTGCTGCTACAAGGACAACGTGTGCAGCTGCGGAATGAGATCTCTTTCCCCAAGGGCTCTTTCGAAGCAGGTAGTGAGCAAGGCACAGGCCACGTGAATTGTGGTGGCAGCAAGCTCCTCTCTTATCATCGTCATTCCCCTCAGATTTTCTTCATTATATGATGGGGGGAAATGGCAGAGTCTGGGAGAAATGGCAACTGGGAGCAGGCTGCCAGCACAGCGACTCTTCTACAAGTCTGCAAACCTGCCAGTCTGAGGCAGGCAGGAATAGGCCAAGGGCACATAGCTGTCCTCCAAGTCCCCGTGATTCTGGATGGGCACCTCAGTTTAGATGCCGTTAATTACTGCAGCAATGACCTGCCTGTAATATAGATCTTGCTACAACTAGAGGCAGTGAATCAATGAAAAGGGCAATGGGGGCATGGCCTAGCAGTACTGGTTTTCAGGAGCACCAGTAGCCACTCACCCTGCAAAATCCAGTCCATTACATTTTAATTCTGGAAATTCATTGCATGTGGCACGCTCCTTTGATAGCACATAGAGCTGTGTTAAATAAATTGTGCTAGTCATTGCAGGCAATGGCTGCTGTGAGTCAGCCAGCCCAGCATCAGTTCCCCTCTACTGCAGTTCTTTGTTCTGCTGAAGTACAATAAATAAAACTTGTTCCATTGCCAACATTTAGGTATTGAAACTACCCTGCAGAAAATTTGCACCAATATTGCCTTCACTTTGATCTTTTTCTCATTTTTTTTCCAGGAGCATGCGAGCTGGCACCACACCAGAGGCCCAGAGCCCTGTGCTTCCAGCAAAGCAAGCATTTAGCAGAGCTGGGCAACCTCACACCTCAGAGGAGCTTTCAAACAACACTACAATGAAGAGCTAGAGAAATCTGGGGAGTGACAACATGAATTGTGGGTGCTTGAGGGTCAAGGAACAGAGAAAGGGCTGTGCTATCCCACTGGCTTTCCAGTTCCCCTTGAGGAAATCATTAGTACCATGACCCAGAGAGTAAATTCCAGGCTCAAAGAGACCTCTGACCCCTGACAGACACCAAAACAGGCAGGACGCTCTCCTGAACTTCAGGCAATGTTTCGGCTCTTCAGCTACACTGCTTCACATGCCATTCACTCCCTCCTCCCTGACCCACAGTTTTATACAGCAAACAGCTTTACCTTTTCTGCCCAGAGCTCCATTCCAACTAGCTGTGGGCTGTAGGGAGGGCCACTGTGGCTACACCACCATAAACTGGTGTAAGAGAAGGGAGACTCGAGCCCTTTGCCTTTAAAAGCTCAACAATGGCCTTACTGATTTCCATGGCCAGTATTTTCCCACTTCCTCCTCACTGTAATTCACCAAAGTAAAATAAACACACTGCAGAAGTAGTATCTGAGTTTGGTCATTATTTTGGTAACACACGCACACAGTGCTAGTTACTGTTAGTAACTCAATAAAATATTTATTCTGCTATTTTAAAAGAGGTAATAGCTACAGCCTGCATCAAAAATACCTTTAATGCTGTAAAAAAACAAACAAACAAAACATCACAGGCTACAGCTTTTCTAGAACGACACACCAGTTTCCCTGATCATAGTAACTCTTTTGAACTCTCACACAATCCAGGGATCTGCATGCTGCTTCCAGCTCCCCTTCACAGAACACATGGTAGTAACGGTGGAAAACAGGACTGAGCTCTTGCAACTCCTTAGAGCCAGCTGGAAATGACACTGTATCAACACTTTCTCCTTTCTTTTTAGAGCCACCTTTCAGGTGCCAGGGAACCAGCAAATCTTGAGAGTGAAAGGATGTTCGGTTAGTGTGAACAGGCAGTCTGGAGGCCGCGACTGGCTTTGCATCACAGCCTTCATCCTCCGAGTCATTAAAGAGTTGGTCAGAACATGCTGAGTCTTGGCTGCTGCTATCAAGCGTTTGATCGCTAAGCGGTCTGTGGGCTGTGCCAGTATTGATTTCCTCCTCCTTGCCTTTACTACCATTCTTTCCCTTAAGGTATTTAGACTTCTGGTTTTTGTATTCTTGTTCCATTGCCCAGACATAAATGAGAGCCATTCCACCAGGTCTTAGAAGCCGGGCTAGTTCACGGATAGAAGCCAGTCTCCTCTCCTATAAAGGAAAAGCAAAGTGTGAAGCTAGCACATAAACAGAGAGACAGGAGTATGGAATGGCAGGAATCCCTCCTTACTGCCCCTCCCCCCCCAGAAGATACTATAAAAATCAGAGGAATTTTTTCCATTATCCATTTTCATTTATAATATAGCCCATCACCATGCGCAAGCCAAGACATTTTCCTGAACACAATTCTCTTTCCATTGGAAAAAACAGTGCTATGCTGAGCAGGACTTCTTGGACACATCAGCCCAGCTGGAAATGACACACGCTTCTTCAAGAAGGTTGTTCAATATCTAAAATCCCAGATTCAGATCCACCACACCTGATGATACACACCCCAATCTGCAGCTGAAGGGTCAGACTTACAGCTTAAACACAGGTCCTCTGACCACCCAAAGACACGTCAGCCTGTTCCAAAACAGACGTCTTCCTACTTTTTTATATCCCATTTGGAAACATTTGCTGTATTTCCGGTACAGAGAAACCACTGGGCCCCACCACAGATTACAGCTCCATGGTCTAAAAACTTGTTGCAGTTGCACAGTTGCTGCCAGGAGAAGCTTACACAGCCCAGAGATAGGGCAGACTAGTGAGTAGTGTCCCTGCTGTTCGTTGCAGGTGGACAATGAACACACAGAGGGGGGAAAAAACCACATGAGATCTGCTGAAGATCTAAGCGGGGAAGTAAGGTATCTCTTGACTCCCAGAGCAGAGCCCCCTTCTCTAATGTCACTAATTGCAAGCAGACGAAAATGAAACACAAACACCTGGATCAAAGTGCCAGTAGGAGCAAGGGCACCTGACAAGCAGAGGGAGAACATGAAGAGAAAGTCTAAGCAGCAGCAGAACAGCTTAACTCTGCTCCGACAACTGCTTACACCAAGTGCAAACCTTCGATCTCCCCCCATGTTGTTTTTTCCTTTTGCTTCCACAAGCCCACACTAGCAGGTCTTCTACCACATCAGTAGCTCTGCACAGCAATACGACAGCGCAGTGGAGCACAGAGAGGGGCGACTTACCGCTGTTGAGAAATGGTGGATTACAGCAATAGAGATGCAGGCGTCACAGGAACCACTGCGCATTGGCACCGACAGGGCATCACCGACAAAAGCCTGGAAATTTTTTTCTCCACAAATATCCACCAGGTTTTTGCTGCGATCACAGCCAACCTGTAACAGAAAGTGTTTCATTAAGCTTTTCATAAGAGGATAACTACATGACTGGAAAATGATTTTTCACTTGATGCTTACAGTAATAGAGTCATCACAGTCTCCTACTGAGGTAACACATTTCAGCTTAAAATAAAAATGAGAGCAAGTGTGAGAAAATAGCCTTAAGTAAGAGGAAAATATGGTTCCCAGGTATAGATAAAAAGAAAAAAAAACCCTGATGCTTACTTAAAACAAAGATGGCAGACTGGCTATTAGACAGCTCATTATAGCACCCTGATTTTGAACCAGCTTATAACAGAACAGGTTTCAACCTAATTTTCCTCCAAACCAGCTCTTAACATACCTTGAAACCAGCAACAGGAGAAGCCACGTAACTCAACCTCAGTATTTTCTTTTCCTTTCAGTTGCCATTTGTAACCTGACAACATTTGAAGCAGTCAAATACTGAACTCACAAAAGCTGAATCTGCAAGTGTAAATGACAATCTGGTGACTTTGGTGGCGTAAGTGAAGCATGGGATCAGGCACAGCCAGCACAGGTTCATGAAAGGCAGGTCCTGCTTGACCAACCTGATCTCCTTCTATGACCAGGTGACCCAGCTAGTGGATGAGGGAAAGGCTGTGCACATTGCATTCTCCTGGAGAAACTGGCAGCTTGTGGTTTACTCTTTACTCGGTTTACTCTTCACTGGGTGGATGGCCGAGACCAGAGAGTTGTGGTGAACGGCGTTAAATCCAGCTGGCAGCTGGTCACAAGCGGTGTTCCCCAGGGCTCGGTTCTGGGGCCGGTCTTGTTTAATAACTTTATCGATGATCTGGATGAGGGAATTGAGTGCTCCCTCAGTAAGTTTGCAGATGACACCAAGTTGCGTAGGAGTGTTGATCTGCTGGACGGCAGGAGGGCTCTGCAGAGGGATCTGGACAGGCTGGATCGATGGGCTGAGGACAACTGTATGAGGTTCAGTAAGGCCAAGTGCCAGGTCCTACACTTCAGTCACCATGCAACAACCCCATGCAACTCTACAGGCTTGAG